TTTTTTTTTTTTTTTGGTGGAACCAGGGACCGAACTCGGGACCTTGCACTTGTCCTACAGTATATGTTGACTAGATAATTAAGAATAGGCAAGTCTGTCTTTGAAAAGTTATTTTACTTTGTTGCTGTTCATTTTGTTAGCTAAGATATTGTGATACTGTAATAGCAGTAGCATTTATCACAATAACCTTATGACTGCATTTCTAAATGTTCAAAGACCTGCTGCTATTTTGACTCCCACCTATCAAGAGTGAATGGCATTAGACATAATAAAGAGTGATTCATTTTGGAAATGAAGTTTTTGATGTCCAGAAAAGGTAACTGGCCCAATCAGAGTAGTTATCCTGCTAATTCCTAGAGTAATACAGCATATCCCAATTCTGTTCCTGTAATAATCACAGGCTCAAAAATAGCTGTTGGATATAGTTTGAGAGCTTTCTTACATTGATTGATAGTCCACTAACCCTAGATCTAATAGTCAAAATCAGTGATACTTAGATTTATGTTTTTAGCGGAATAGCTCTTCAGGGAAAGTCATTCAGAAGTCCAGTATGGAACACCTATAAAAAGAGAAGTAGCCAAAACAATACAGTGGCTAGGGCACCCACTTCCCCTGCCCTCTTCTCTTTTTCTCCCATCCCCAGAGCAATTCAGGAGGTGCATGCAAGAAAGAAGTTTTAGATTTCTGTTATGCATAATAATTAAGGAACCTTAATCTTTAGTCTACTAGATTTCACATACTTCAATGAACATAATAAGGATATAGTTTTTAAATTTTCTCCCAAAGCTATAGATTTTCTGTTAAATCTAGTTAACTTTCTAAAACTTACTGAATTCTCTATGTCTTTTTTTTTTTATTTTTAATCGGTTTCAAGGTCTCACTACATAGCTTGGACTCGAAGTGATCCTCCTGCTGTCAGCCTCCCCAGCACTGGGATTACAAGCATATGCCACTACAGCCCAGACTCTTGGGGCAGGGCTGGCATGACATGTGGTGCTGGGATTAAATCACAGTCCCTGTATTTGTCTAAGCAGGTGCTTTAGTCCACTGTGCTATCTTGCCGACCCTAATTCTCATTTTACCACCCATTATCTTTTAAATCAAAAATGTTCAGTCCTCAGGTCTTAAGTTTCAGTCTCTAGTGCCCTTACTGATTCTATGAAAGAACTTTGACTTCTAGATATAAATTTTAACAGTTTTAGGATCAGTTTTGAGTACTGATTTTCATACATAGATGTAACTTTAAAGGATGATGCTTGTAAGTTGTAGTATTACTTGGACTCTATCCTTGTTATTTATCTTGCTTCAAGTCAACATGTGCAGTACTTTTTAATTGACTTTGTTGATATGTGCTCAAAAAATTCAGTGAATGACTGCATTTTCTTTTGAATTTATTACAGTAAATCGTATATTGACATTTATCCCTGTCAAAATACTCCCCCTCACTTCTAACGTGCATTTTTTTTCTTTTTTTGGTTAAAGGTCTTATTATATAGTTCATTTAGGCTGGTCTTCAGCTCGCTATGTACGTTAGCATCAAATTCAGCAGTCCTTCTGCCTCACCCTCCTGAGTGCTGAGATTACAGGTGTGCACCATCATACCCAGCAATCCTGTCAATCTTGCCACTTTTGAAGCAGTTCTGAAAGTCCTCTTTTGTGAATATTTTTTCATATCCCATGGAAATATAGGCCTATAAAGATACAGTGTGTGACTTGTAGCTTTTCCCCAAAGTCAGTATGACTGTGAAAGTTAAATGTTTTGAAGCAATTTGGAACACTAAGGCAGCCAGGACAGTAAAACTAAAGACTCTAATGAAAAAGGACTTGCAGAGCTTATTCAGAAATTGCCAAGAACAGTGGGATAAGTAAACTATGCTTGAAGCAAGGAGTAGTTTGGTTGTTTGTTTTGTATATTTAGTACAGGGCCTCACTACACAGATTGACTCATTGTGATCCTGTTTTCAGCCTCCCAAGCTCTGGGATTACAGGCTTGTGTCACCACGCCCTATCTCAATCGCCTTCTCAGCAGGCCTTGGGGGGGAGGGGCAGCACAGCATGCCAAAATTGAACCCCTGTCCTTGTACATGGCTAAGCAGACACTTTAGTCTGCTGAGCTATCTGGCTGTCCTTAAGCTGTAGTATTTTGATGGGGATGAAATGCAAGGTTTTTTTTACTGTAATAAAGGGGATTTAGTCAAAAATAACTCTCCCGCTCACAAAATGGTAGGAAATGTTTCCTAGTCATGTTTCAGATAAGTAATTAATATCTGGAATAATTTTTGATTTCTTACAGCTAAAAAGTAGGTAACCCCATTAAAAAGGATAAAGGGGGGCCTGGGAGATAGCTTAGTAGAATAAGCGCTTGCCTGGCAAGCACAAGGTCCTGAGTTCAATCCCCGGTACCACAAAAAAAAAAAAAAAAAAAAAAAAAAAAGGATAAACGATGTAAAGAGAGATGTATAAAGGCCAATAGTGAAAATCAAACTCACAATGAGTCATATCATTTAGTATGGCTATTATCAAAGAGCAAGACTAACAGACCTTAACAAGGTTGTATAGAAAGTAAGCCCTTGTGATCTATTCATAGAACATAAAATATGACCACTATGCACAAAACAATTCATAGAAGGTACAAACAGTCCAAATGTCCTATAGGCAACATTAATAAAACATTGTATATACATAAAATCTGCTATAAAAATTGAAATTGTAGTACATGCTTTAAGTTGGATATG